CTTTTCATGAGTATATTGGTGACAATAATATATTCATCTTTTTTTTCGACTAATACAATCTTTTTTTTCAGATCTCTTCTGATTAAGAGACTGATTCCTATCCCAAATGGTATATATATGTTAGTACTATAAAAGTGTTTATAGTCTTTTTGATTGTTGAATGTATATTATACATTAACTTGTATCAGTTTTGTTTCATATAATTCCAATATTTTTATTTCTTGTTTTAATATCTCTTCAATCAGATTTTATTATTTTGTTTTATTTATAATTCTTCTAATATTATATATATCAATTTTAATTATCCTTTTATCTATTTCATTCTTTTTTTTAATTTTTCTAATAGTCTGTATTTATTATTGTTATTTAAAAAATTTTTCTATTCATCTTATAAAAATGTTGATATATAGTATCTATATTTGTAATTTTTTATAAGAAGACATTATGCTTTTGTTTCTCTTAATTGTTATCAAGAATTGATGTACTTTTAAAAATATTTGCTCCTTTATTACTGGGTCTTGATCTTCTGGAAACTATTTGTCTCTCTAAAGTATCTATTTTAATATATAGTCTTTTTATATTGACTAGAATACTCTTTAAAAAATCTTGTGTGCTTTCTATTTTAAGTCTTGTCTTATTTTTAGAAAATCTATATCTACTGTTTTGTTAATTTTTAATTGATTCTTTATTACTTTCTGTTGTAGAGTATTCTTTTCTTTTGTTTTTTTCTCATCTTATTATATTATTGTTTTACTGTTTGATTTGTCTCTAATTTTTGAAACTATGATAACTTGTCAAAATAAAAATAAAATTTGTTGATTCATTATCAGATTATAAGTTAAGTATTAATTTATTATCTATTTAAAGTATATACTTCTGAACTTAAACCTTGTATTCCTATTTTCATCTTTAGAATTCTATCTTTTTGATTTAGATATATATTTAATGCTCCATAAGAGGCAATGTTTCTATAAGAAAATATGTTGTTTATATATCTTATTTCTTTCTTTTTTTGTTTTAAAGCAAACTACTATAAAGTTATACTTCTTGAGTATATAGAGATTTTGGGATATATAATATATCATAGCTTGAGTATTATTTAATACTTTGACTATTAGACTGATATTAATTAAAAGAAATAATAATTTAACAAGACTCTTAAGTATTGATAAAATCTATATAATCAAAACTCTTTTCATTAATTCTCTAATCATACACAAAAAAGACATTTGCAAGAAAATTTTCTATTTCTAAGCTAATAAAGTCTTATCACTTTCCCTAAACCAAATTAAAGGAACTTCAAGAGCTATTAACTACCTTTCCTTCTTTTGCTTACTATCCTCTTCAAACAAAAACTTGACCTTTAGTGACTACAAAGGTCAAGAAACACCTTTCCTACCAATAGCAAGAAAGTTCTGAAAGAAAGAAGAACTAATGTGCTATTATCTCACATTATAGAAGAATACCACAGAAGTATCTATATGATAAGAGACAAATTTTCCACTCTTTTGTCACTTGTTGTCTTCTCATAATACTCATTCTTGATTTTTCTGAAAAATTTTGCCTATCACAGTTTGACCCTGAATTTTGAGTAGCACAAAGTTTCTTATATCATAATTGGACAGATAAAGCTCATATTAGTAAAAGAAGTAAACAAGTTCCTATTGATCACTTCACATGTCAAATACATTTCCTCAGCTCTATAAAAACCTGAGGTCCATTATAAGTTATTGTGCTTTGTACAGATGGATAAGGAACACTATCAACTCCTACATCTTTGGCTAAGTAAAAAAGAAAAAACATATCCTTTTTTCTTCTCTAGCAAAAAAGAAGAAGGAAGACTAGATTCAAAAGATACAGAATGAGGATGATGCCTTAAAAATCTATGCCTATTCTTTATTAGCATGAATATTGGAAGATCAGAGAGATCTTAAGATCATTCCCACCTAATCAACAACACCAATATATAGTCGAATGACTTCTGTTAGCTGAAAAATACATCACAATAGAATATTAGACAATGGTTCAATCTCTATAGATAGTAGTACTTTGAGGAAAACAGTATAATATTTATCAAGTTCAACAAGGCACACGCTAGAAGTATCAAGATTATCCTTTCTAGGCTAGAGTTATCACAATGATAAAGAAAGATAGATTGTTGGATAATAAGTTTCTAACTATCCCAGTGTCCATTCACTTCCCCTATATCCTAGAGTTTTTCAAAACTCCTGATTTATTATTACCCAATAGAACATAAATAGAAGATCATATACTGGATAGGGTATAGAAGGAAAAGATAATAACTAGTAGACAAGAATCACAACATAAAGATACTGAAAGCAGTAAAGGAACAGGTACTGTGCCCTGAACCAATAAAGCCCTTGAAGAGTAACCAGTCCACAATATCAATATGGTAGTAGTAGCGTATCTCCAAGTCATCCATAACCAAACCATTTCCCTTCTTCCTTCCGTTACCTTTTTTGTAATCAAAATCTTCATCCTTGTTTAAATTTATATAGTCTTAGTTTTTTTTTTCTCCTCTAAATAGAGATAGCAAAGTAGAGTAATGAATACAATCCTTCTTACTCCTTTTTGAATTAGGTTAGATAAATTAAATTTGATACACATAGCAGCTCACCTTTAAAATTTTATATCATCCTAATGATTCTTTTATTAGATCTCTGTCTAGAAATGGCTCATTCATAAGATGATTTTTAAATCTATCATTAGTTTACTAATATATTACTATTTTCTTCTGATCGAATATATCTATATAGTAAAACTTGCTAATATAAACTTGATCAAGCCAGCTTAAAAAAAAAAAAAAAAAAAAAAAAAAATTGATAAAATCTATATATCTAAAGTAATTTATTGATAAATTTTAATAAAAGAAAAAATTCATAAATCATTTTGAAGTATTTAAAATTTATAATATATAATAGAGAATTACAAAAGTTTTATAACTAAATTATTTTTAAAAATTGTTTTAAAAAAAATTAAGATAATATTATAAGTATTTATTTATTATGCTAGTTCATATATATCTTGTAATATATTTATTATATAATTATATTATATATAAAAATAGGTTTCTAAAGTATTTAATATATAAATTTTATAAATTACTTATATTCTTTTTTGAAAAACAAAATTTATAACTCTTTACTTTAATAAAAATAAAATTTAGAAATTTTATAAATCAAAAATTTAATAATAAAGAACTATTCTAATTAATTTCTTTACAGTTATTAATTTAAAATTTTTAATGTTTTTTAATTGAAGATATTTGACTTTTGTTTGTTTTTTTTTTTTAAGACCTATTTTTAATTATATGTAAATACTATATTTCATAACAAATAAAGAGTATAAGATAATAAAGTTTTTATAAATAAAAGTTAACATCTGAATGTTTCCCTTAAGATATTCTAATTTGATACTTGCTTAAATAAAAGATCAATTAAATTAACACATCTAATATTCCAAGTAGTGACAAAGAAGATTTCTTTTAAGGTTCAAGTAAAGCAAGAAAAATATTTCAATCAGATAGTTTTTTTGAAAAGATAATAACTTGTTTTTTTAACTTTTTCGATAGGACCTTGAATTATCTTTTCTTTTCAATTATTGATTTTTTTTTCTTTTTTAACTTAGCAATTCATAATTATTGAACAATTTATAATGACAAACTGTTAATAATAAATCTAGAAAATAGAAGTATATATCAATTCTTTAGAAAAATAAAATATTGTTTTTTAGATCAGATTTAAAATATTTTGATGCAATAATGAATTAGTTATTATATAAAAAATCTATAATATTGTAAATAGTTATAAACTTCTTAATAAAAATTAAGTTATATAATATAATTGCAAGTTAAAAAAAAATTTTTTTTATAAATTTGCTATTTGAAATTATTAATAATATTATAACAAGTGTCATAATTAGTTAATATAATTACTAAAATCAGTTTTTCTTTATTGTTTTTTTTTTATTTGATTTATAATGCCTTTATTTAAATATATTTTTTTTTAATTAATCAAGAATCTAATTTTAATAAAAGACTATTTAAAAATTTAAATTAAAAAGTTTACTTTATAAAAATTTATTTTAAAAATAAAAGAAACTTTTAATATTTTATAATTAGATTTTTTTTCTTTTAAAACTTTTTTGTTATTGATAAAAAAAAAAAAAAACATTATTTAACTTTTCTTAATTATTAATTAATATTTAATATCAAAAAAAATGAAACACTCGTCTTAAAATAGTAATCTATGTGGGCAAAACTCAAGCGCGCATTCAATGCCAACCGTATTATCATCATTCAAAGGTTTTTTTTTTCCAAATACGTGAATGATATATACATGTCAGGTTATTAAATGTCCGGTGTGGTAAACTCTATTTAAAGTTTTGCTTTCAAATATAGTATAAACTACGTAATCCTTGCCGTGTGACAAAAGTTTGTTGGAGTGAGAAATGAAATTTAAACTCGCTTCAATTCATCTGTAGATTGTTAATTTAAGATTAAACTGAAGTTTATTTAAAAATTGTTTATATTGCATGAGATCTACATCCACCACAACATCTTGAGCCTCAAGAAATGAGTCGTTTACGTTTTAAAAAAGATAACCAGAAATATACAACCAAATTGTGTCCTTGAATGAGAATTCCGATGGTTTATAAAAATACCCGGCTTTAAATCTGTTATATACATGCAATTTGAAAAGTGACATGAAATATGTTGAATAACCGGGTTACAAATCAAATAGAAAAATCATAAATGGCAATCATTTAGAAAGGTAAAGGAAAAAAAAATGAATTGAAAGTGCCGCAGGTGATAGGTTTGAGTTTTTCAGCTTTCCAGCCGACAAAGGGAAAATAATACACGGGGTTCACATATAGCTCGGTAAATATACAATGAACTACAGACGCACAAATAAACCTTCAATTAGTGTCGTCAAAGATTAATCGTTATCATTTCGGACTAATAAACAAATTACACTCGTTCAGTTTCCTAGCATATAAGCGCCAACTCCGATACTAACAACACCAGCGACCATGCCAACCACTGTGGATGCAATGAGTTCCCATCTTCTGCGTTTGTTAGCACGCATCTCTAAAACTGCTAATTTCTCATTAAGTTCGTTTACTTGTTGCAGGCATTCTTCGTAATCAAGTTCCTCGTATTTACGTTTACGGGAGATGACGGAAACCGTCGAGTTCGTTGTTTCAGTCACATTAGAGGGACCCTCCCCATTGTTCACCGTACTTTCATTATTAATTTTTTCGTTTATTTTTTCGTCCTTATGTGATTCTTTGGAATGTTTTGTTTCACGAGACATTTGTGTCGACGGTTTTTCCTTAATAGAGACTGCCGTATTTTTTATGGTCACAAGATTTACCGTGGTTTCTTCTAAAGGACAAGCGTCCGGAGTGATTGCTGGAGTAACAAGTTTATGATCGTCGGCGAATTTGTGAAAATCATCTGTGGGAACAACCTCGTCTTTCACAACGGGTATATCAAACTTGGCGACATTCCTTTCCGATGTCACTGACCGTCTTTCCTGTTTCACTGCAACTATCTGAGGTTTTGGTTTGATTGGCGCAATGGCCGCAGTTGTGGTTGCAGCTGATGCCGAAGTATCAACTGATTGTTGGATATATTCGTTAGAAAGACATTCAGAACGCTATACTTAAACTGTTGAACAGTGGATTACCTTCTTCTGACTGTCTCGTTTCACGCATATTTGATGAGGCCGAACTTTTTTGACCGGAGACACCAGAACTAACGCCCGATGGAACAGCACGAGATTCGCTTATCTTGGTAGACTTATGTTCTTTTTGAACCTCGGCAGATTTTTCAACTTTGCTGAAGTGGTAAATTTTTTCGAAAACAAAAAAATAATCAGGCTTTATTCTTTATCTTATTTTTATTTTTACCTTTAATTTTCCTTTTCATGAAATGATATAATATCTTACTTTTGCATAGACGCAGCAGAAACAAAGCCATCAGCAGGGACCTCCGTTGAAAGATCTTTCGCTATGCATGCTGACGTCGTGGTGGGAACTTTTTCCTCTGATCTTTCTGATTTGTGGTTTGCACTGTTTGTCGATTCACTCGGTAATTCATAGTTTTGTATGTTATTAGAAGAAATTGGTATTGGTGGAACCTCTTTCTTTTCTTTTGGGTAGAACACGTAAGCGGACAAATGCTTATATAAGCCTAAAAAAAAAAAAAAAACAACAAAACTTGATTAAATATTCAAGGTCATAAATTGGTAAAAAATTTTTAAATTATAGGGAGGTTCTCACTTTGGTTGCGCCGAACACTGTGTCCAAAGGTAATTACATCTCCATGTTTCAACTCTTTCCATTCGCTATCTTTAGAACCGTCTCCTAGGCGTACATCGTTAACAAAAGTACCATGTGTGCTTTTTGTATCCTTAATTAAAATCTAAGATTGAAATATATCAAAATTAATTTAAACCATATGGTTGAATGGAAGAAATGAGAGTAAGAAGTTACCTTTCCATTTGACTCCTTAAGCATTGCGTGTTCTCTCGACATCACATCGCAAATAAAAACACCATTCTCTGCCTTTGCTTCTTTTTGGTTTCGACTTCCGCTGACCCTACCTACCTTAATTTCTTGTTCGGGCGCGAATGTCAAATGTTTCGGGCTAAATACGATTGAATCAGTAAGAGGGAATAGATTGACGGCAACAGTTCTCGAAGCGGCAGCCGGGGATTCAGAGCCGGAGCAAGATCGTGTTCTAGGTGACGGGAGGGTGGCGTCTGATTTTGTTGGTGTCCAATCCATCGGTTCAGTGTTTTGTACGGATTTTTCATTGCGCTGAACATTATTAATTCGTATACCTCTTTCAGCCGCATTTTCGTTATTAATTTCCTATGCAATTTCACCAGTATTATTGTAGTTATTGGCAGTATTACGGGAACCATTATTTAACAGCGAGTCGAAAAATTCCATCAATATAACGGTCAATGTAAGAGAAGAAGCATGAATTTTTCATAAAAAAGTTACCGTGGTAATTTTCGCGAAGTCTGTCTCCGTTCTCGGATCGGACACCGACTCGAGCAAACTTTCAATACGAGAAGGACCGTAACTGAATGGCTTTCTCTCGTCAACGTGATCGTCAGTCATGATATGTTCTTTAATAGGTGATATGCCCGAAACGACAGACATTTAATTTTCTATCCAAAGTTTTCAAAGTGAAAAATCCAAGGTGGTATGTCTTATATTAAGAGGCGAGGAACGAACTCGTTAGATTTTTTGCCTTTCGATTATCTCTTGCTTGCTATTTGGAATATCGCGTCAAGTGCTTCCCACCTTTAAGTAAGCATACAAGGTAAACTATTCCTCCGACTTTAAGACCTCAAACCAAAAATGACGGTGGTTGCGTCGTTTTGAAATTATTTTCTCGAAAGCAAAGCAACCTTATTATCCAACAATTCAGGTGCACTTCCAATCATAAATAAACTGCGCCGTTTGCACTGATTTGAGTAAGGGCAGGACAAATCAGAAATGATAATTCGGTGGCTTAGCCCGGAGTTATACGCTTATTCTCCGAAACTTTTCAATCGTAGATCTCTAATGCCCTAAAATTCTTCCCAGAATTCAACCAGATGACAAATTTTTATGACACTTTACTGCTGCCTCACCTACCCATTCAATATTATAACTTTACGAAGTTTTTTAAAATGTACGCTTAAAACCAGCAGATGATATCTTGCATTTCCATTGACATTGAATTACTTATCATATATCGATGTTTCTGTATTATGAGCACGAAGAAAAACGTTCTTTGCACATCTGAATGAAACTACACGGAATAATGTGTATGATACTATTAAATAATAAGCACATTCTAACTTGTAATATTACCATATTTAGATACACTGAACCAGTATACTGGGAATGTTGCAAATTATAATTGATTGATTAATTTTATAAAGAAACTGCATGTGTTGAAATAGGAAATTGCAGCTTTTTTATTATTCCAAATCTTTTTCATTTCTTTTTGAGAGTTCTCTGCTTTTCCGCATGCTCGACTATCTTCTTGTCGATAGACATTCCCTAAACAATAACTCACGGTATTAGTTATTAGCGCTAGCATTAAATCATTTTGCCAAAAACACAAAGTTACCTTCCGTTTCCTCACACTTTCTATATACTTCTTGGCGAGGTTCTCTCTGTCTGCTTTTTCTCCCAAATCTTCAAGTTCCTCTTCAGTTGTTGGAACCCAGAATGGATCTTCATTCAACATCTCAAATCTAATTAAAAGAGTGTTTATTGAGACAAAAGAAAAAAAAATATTATGGTTTAATTTATTTGCTCGCTTTACATACCCACTAAAGATTAATTGGGGACTAGCCGCACCAGAAGTACGTTTCCTGATCTCTGTTACAAAATTGAATTTAGTGGAGATACAAGTTAAAAGATGGAAATAGAAATAAATTAATTATTTTCCGACCTTCAGCGAACCCGAAGCTTTCGACTACAGGTAAGCGCGCGCAAATTTGGAAAAACGATGTTCCCTCCTTCACCTCTTCGGAGATGATGTGTCCACGACGTCTGGATATCACGCCGTAAACACGACCCAGAGCTTCAGCTAATTTAGAGTAAATGGTTTGAGACCGAGTTCTGAAGAAATACTCAATTTTAATTGATTGATCAATTCATTCGTTCTTAACTGGTCACTTGGATATCACAAGAGTACATGGCAAGCATTATTCTCGGTGACCACTCCAAAAAACTTTGACAGCAGGCATCTCTAACCGTCGTGATAATTTGACCGCTTAACTTCGAGCGTACTGAAAAATATCGAAAACTATTTAGTTGATAAAGGTGTTTCAATATGTACATCCTTATTCATGGTAGAACAAGATATTATATACTTTCAGAGATATCAACACTCTCGGCATTAACAGGCACTTTGAAATCTTCCAAAAAGTATGCAACACCCATTAGCGGTTCAGCGCAGAGGGGACCTGCCTTTGTGGCAAGCTGAAACCCTGTGTGGATGGCTTCTTCAAAATCGCGAATTGTCAATTCCAATGATTTTTCACTTACTTCCTTTGAAGTCTCATTTTCAAAAGTTTTTAGGGAATTCACATTTTTCCGCCATCTGTTAACACATTATTAAGTAAATAAAAGTTGAAATTATAAACAAACAATCCATCTTGTTTTACTATGTCATCTCACACAATAGTCAAGGATACGATTTCCGTGAATAGTTGGGAACTCGATTTATCAATATATTTGGACCTTCGCGTTTTGGTCCAAATGCCCAAATACTATAAAAAGCGGAAGTGATGTTATTCCCAAACATTCTATCGAAGAATGCGCCAGAAAATCTTACTTGTCGATCGAGTTTTTCCAAATTTCTTTGTCTGCGGATTTTTCAAACTCAGATTCAAGATCATTGAAGAATTTTTCAATATTTGATGCACGTTCATTTTTATTGATCACTTCTTTAGAAACATCCTCGTATTCTTCTGTTGATTGCGAGTCATTTCTACCTCTTTGGCGTTCGTCAAGCATGTTTTTTATGGTTATTGTGTGTTGATTGAGGAAAGCCGTAACATTAGGAGGTAATGGCACAGCACGTATTTTAATATTGCAGTATTTATTAGGCGTAGAAAGGATGACAACACCACGTTGCACATTTGCATCTTTATTTTGCTGAGTATCTGTAATTACAAAAAAATTTTTATCAAAAGGTCGTAATGTAAATTCAAACCGTAATTAATAAAGAATACGAAATAAATTACCCGACACTGGAACTATCGTTTCTCTAAATGGCACGATTGGTGGAGATACCTGGATCTCGATTTTTGCGAATCGTTCTCTTAAATCCAGTAGGCATCTCTTAAATTTGAAATGAAATTAAGTAGACTCAAAAGCGGTGCAAATTTGCTCAGAAAATTTCAGCTTTCTTACTTCAAGATGCACTTCGCCAGCAGTCAAAATGACATGCTCACCCGTTTCCTGCACAAGAACTTCTATACAAGGATCAGCCTGATTAAGCAAGCGTAAACCTTCAATAAGCTTATTAACCTCGGCTATAGAAAGAAGATTAAATATTATTGTTAAAGCGAAAACAAAAACTTTGTTGCAGATGATTCGGAGAAATTACATGGATCTTTCGGCTCAAGAGCAACCCTAACAATCGGAGGAGACTGGAAAAGAATGCAATACAGATCAGGTTATTTCATTGTAAGGGAATCGACAAAGTTACAGTAACGTCATTAACCTCGGAAGCAACACCGGCAAGGCCATAGCATTCTTTCGTGCTGCTAAGAGTACCATTCTTCAGCATGTGGCCTTCTAACCCACTAACACCGAAGACATTACCCGCAGGCACTTCCTTAAGGAGTTCCAACTCTCTTCCCATCATCAAGTATAGGTTCTCAATAACGACCTCGGTGCAGTGTTGTTCTGGAAAGGCGGGATCATATCTGGGCCCCAGGGCATAAAGTTTCTGTCCAACACGAATAGTGCCAGAATAAAGACGCGCGAATCCAATAAAGGTTTCCCTAGGAAATGATAAATCAGGCGTATCGTTTTCCTCTATTTCCACGTGAGAACTATCCGATGATTCTTTAAGCCTTTCGGGAATTTCATTATATTCCGTGCTAGAAGTGGATGATGCTTCCGACAAAGAGTTCTTTTGTAGCGCTTCCCTTTTGATCCTTCCCTTCTCCCTTAACTCCTCGGCGGTTAATTGCGTTCGCTTGTTTTCTGGTAGCACATCCGAAGGTACAGCAAACATTTTTGAAACATATGCGACGACTGGTACTGATTCGCTGGGATCACAATTGCACATTCCACGCTCCGTCTCACTCATTTCTTTGGGAAGGTTTTTCGTGTGACTACGTAACATCCGTGGAATTCGTACCGGCTGTGCAGCGACTGGTGAAGGAAGCTGATCGATCACAGCGGGTGTGAATGGTTAAGAATAGTTAAAAGTTCAAGAATTTTTGGATTGTAAAGTGAGTCAATTGATCATAAAGGATATGCAAAATAGCCATTGACAAAGGTAGCCACTGATTGAAAATAGATGTCAGCAAAGCTCGAGTGTCCTTAGATCTCATATCCCGGGCTAGTATTTTCAAATCGAGAGTTTTGACAATTTTTTCAATCTTTTCCCTATTACTGAATCATATAATCGGTAGATCAAGAATTTGCATGGAAGGAACAAATGCGACATGCATCAGGGAACACATGCATACTTATTTATAATAACAGCATCATAGACTGCCCATATATTGTCCAGAACGAACTGAACAAACATCGGCTTTAACTGACGTCCTTTGAGATGCTTGTGTTGCAAGAGTCGTTTTGTTTTTGGCTCGAGATAATAATCACCCCAAAGAAATTTACGTAGCAAGTTCTCTTTGATGCCCAACTTCGCTGAAATTATTTGAGCAAATTGTTCGACTCTGTCACCCAGATCGGATACCACTGTAAACAATGACTTTGTTTGAAGAACAGGTTGCTTTCATAAATATAATAGTAATCTTGTCTAATCATTTACCTAAATGCCCACCCATCAAGGGCACTCGCAAAAACAACATTTCCAGTCTCAGGAGTAAAATATATATTTGAGTCGTCGCGTTCCTCAAAATCTATTTCGCCAGATCCTAACTCAACATCTGAATGACCCTCCTCTTGGTTCGCTAGCCTCTCCTGTTTCCAAATGTATTAGATTCGCTTTTTTAGTTTTTTATCCAACAAAGCATATTTTCCGGTACAAATATCGCACCTTCTCACTATCGTGTCTTCTCGTTTCTTTTTCCACTACATCATCAGCAAAAAAGGTTCCCATAACTGCATTCACCTGTTCAAGAATTCTATTGATATGAACTTGGGCTTCCTGAGGCGTTAATTTTAACTCAGTTATAAGCCGATCTATTTTGTTAAGAACAAGTATCGGTCGGACATTTTCCACCCATACTTGGCGAAGCACTGTGTATGTCTATAATAAGTTTTTAAATTTAGATCGGGTAAGGATTTTTAAAAATTTAAATACATTCGATTTATCTTACCTGTGTACATACACCCTCAACAACGTCGACCAAGATCAATGCGCCATCACATAGCCTAGATGCTGTTGATACCTCGCTTGCGAAATCGACATGACCGGGGGCATCAATTAGATTTATTAAGTACTCATCGGCGCTTTCTTAATTTTTTAAGGTTAGTTGAGTGAATAAATAAATACATATATGTCTTCACACTTAATCAAGCCAACCTTCTTTCTCGGTTTTCCGTATAATTCGAAAGTATAACGAAATACTACTTGCTTCCATGGTTATTCCTCGTTCTTGCTCGTCCTTTCTGCTATCTAAGTACCTTACTTTTCCCGCGAGTTTAGACGAAATAATTCCGTTTGAAGCCAACAATGAATCAGAAAGTGTAGTCTTCCCATGATCTACGTGTGCTAAAATGCAAATATTTCGGATGCGCTCCGTCTGGGATTGTAATTTTACAAGTTGCGCAGTAGTAACTAACGGCATATTTGTAACTATGCAAAAGTAGTCAAAATTTTTTACTTTATATAATATTGGATAGTGTCACGTGCCAATTAGACTATAATAGCTTTGTCAAATTAATTATAGGTGCTTTCCAGTCACTTTATTCTATTTATAAAAAAAAAAATTTTTTTTGATATTTTTAATAAAACATAGAATTTACTTTAGATTAAATATACTTAACTAATATTAGATAACTAATACTTATTTAAAAACATTATTCTATAAGGCACATACTGCATATGATTGGTATAAATAGATATAGAACATAAAATCTCTTATGTCAATAGCTATTCAAAAAGAATTTATTCAACTATAGTAAAGATTATAAAATATTGCATCTATTTTTAGAGATATAGTCATTTACCTCTGGTTGTCAGATAGGTTTCTTTTATCTTTATCGAATAGATAAAAATTTAAAGATTGAATATTGATTTTTTTTATTTATTTCTTAATTCAACTTTTAGAATATAGAAAATAGAGTATATACTGCATTGCTATTAAGTAATAAATATTAAAGAAAATAGTTTGTAAATTGATCTACTGGTATTATTAAATATGCTATTATTTTCAACTCCTTTTCATTTTAAATAAGATTGAATCTATTTTTTTTTTCTTAAAATTTTTCAAGAAATTAATTCAATAATTTATTCTAAAGAAACTTTTCTTCTTATTAAGCATTAGTATCTAACTTTCATATATGATTCCCATTGATGTTTTGAGAATCTGCAAAGAGATACAAGTTGATTATTAAAGACAATAACTAAGATTTTTGTATTTTTCAAAAATTTAAATAAAGATATCTGAAATATAATTAATATTATATAAGAATTTATTTAATTATTATTTCAAAAATAACAAATATTAAATTTAGAAAATGTAATATTGTTTATTTCTTAATTATTCAACAATTGTTTTATTCATTTACCTATCTATTTTATTTATTTACCCATTAATTTATCTACATATTCCTTCATCTATTTATTTATCCTTTTATTTACTTATCTATTTGCTTATTCATCTATTTATCTATTCTTATCCATCAATCTATTCATCTATTTGTTTATCTATTCATTTATTTATTCATTTACTTATCTACCTATTTACTTGCCTATTTATTTATCTACTCATCCACTTACCATTTGTTTATCTACTATTTATTTACTTACTCACTTACATTTATTTATTCACTCATCCATTTACTTACTCACTGGTCTCTATTTATTTACTTATCTATTTAAATAAAAATCTATTTCATATAAAGTAATATAATTAATTTACTTATCTTTCAATTTACTTAATAAATATCAATATGTAAGTAAAAATTTACTATCTATAAATTTGATATTAATATAGTTAATCTACTTTTGAATTTATTCAAAATTGAGTTTTTTTAACATAAATCAAATCCAGTTTATGCTATTTTTTTAGTACAAGTCAAATTTAATTTAATTATTTTTAAATAAATTTGTGAAGAATAGAATATAGTTCATGAAATGTAGAGTAGTAAGACATAACATAAGTTTGCAAAATGCAGGTGTGAAGGAAGATAAATTTGTGAGTATAAATTTATGGATTATAAGGTGAATAGATTTATAAAGTATAGAGATTTGTAAATTATAAGATGGATGGGTTCATAAAATATTAAGTAGATAAGTTTATAAATCACAAGATAAGTGGTTTCATAATAGATTATTATTTGAAAATATAAGATCTGTAACTAATCAAAAGGCAAATACTAATATAAATATTTTAATGTATATATTTATAAATAAAAGATTTATATATTTAGAATATCTGAAAAAACTAAAAGATCTTTTTATAAGAAGAATACTTTAAAGAGTATTTTATAGTAATTTGGACTAGTGTAATAAATAAATAAATAAATATACATATATATATTTTAAAATACATATTCAGATCAACACTATAATATTAAATATTTTTTATAAAAAAACTCTTTTCACTGATCCTCTTTTTTCAAAAAAATTTTTTTTTTAGTAATTTTCTTGGAAAAAGTGAACCAGTCTAAATACATAAGAAAGAAGTACAAAATCTTAGACTAAGCTATTAAACACTTACAATATACTCAAATATACTGTATACATTAAACTATCTGGAAATACCAAGAATAGAAATATACACTGTTTCATTACCTTTTTACTTCTTTTTTTTAAATTTTTTAGGAGAAAGAAAGAAAAGCTGAAAACTGATTTACAATCAGAAAAAGAGAGCCAATATCAATTTCACATAGCTTATAGCCAGGCCAGTACAGGTTAATACCTTTCTCGACACTATAAAGAATTCAAAAAGCAACTAAGCCCACTCAATGAATCAAGTTGCTCTAGTTACATTAAGGCCCAGAAGGATATCAAAGCTCTTTAAAGACAAAACAGTCTTAACATATATACCCATCAAAATAATATACCTATCCCAAATCTCATTACGTAAATACAAATTGTAAAGACAAGACAGAAAACAAGCATGTACATATACACTTTGTTGTCCAAACTAGTTGATCAACTTTCTATACAAATATGGCAACAACTTTCAAATTAGGATAGGATTACCAATATAAACAAATAAACAATCAAAACAACACAATAAGATTTTCTGTATTACCTAAATATATACATATAAACAATAACAATATAAAAAGTTTATCCATAGTCTAAATTTAGAATATTGATAAATATAAACAAAAAAAACACATAAAATATTTGACAACTGTCACATGACAAAATAGAATACATATTCAATACCCATAATATTGATACTATAAATATGGATAAAGTTGACCAATCTTATAAATAGTATAAAATAGAGAAGACATGATATTAGATATCTTAATTAATATAATCAGATAGCATGATGAAAAAATGAAATGTGGGTAACACAGCAGCTACTTCAACAAAAAAAAGAAATAAGCACCAACTATAGACACATATCTTTACTAAAAATATTTACAGTTATAGATAGCATAATTGCCAGAATATTAGAAGTAGATAGAGCAACCTTTTATAAAAAATACATTCTAATACAATACATTACATACCTCTGGCAATAAGGTAATTGAAGAGAAGAAGATCTACAATAACAATTTCTCAAAGACAAATATTTAAATATAGTTAAAAGAAATAGTAATAAGAAAAAATAAAATATTTGTCAGCCCATGGAAATTACTATGAACTTAGAAAATGAACAAACATTAGAAATTGAGACAATAACTCATATAAATTAAGAGGAAGATCTAATAATAGAGAAAATTCATGAGAAGGTACAAAGTTCAAGTATTGCAGAACTCAACACTTACTTTACCAGAAATCGTTAAAAAGTGATAATAAACAATCCCTATTATATAACTAAAAAAGAAACTTACAAAATTGCTACCATAACGATCAATGTCTTAGGAAATACTAAAGAAAAAATACTCGTATATATGAGTGGTCTGCTAAAACTACCAGCAGGTCAAAGAAATCTATTGTATATAGAATTCTTAAATGATAATAAATGGTTGATCTTCTATGTTAACAAAGAAGAAGATCTTCTAAAATGTATAGAAGAAATAAACTGCAAGAAAGAAAATTTCAGTATTCAACAATTGAACTCTAATGGAAAAGAAAAAGATACACAACTTAAAAAACCAAATCAACAAAATGATAGAAAGAAATTTTTCAAGAAGCTGATACTGGAAGAAAGTGAAGAAATCTTCTATATCAGTTTGATAGATATAGATCAAAAAATAACCTGATTTCAACTAAAAGAGTATCTTAAATGATATGATAAAATTATAAATCTAAATATATATAGCTATTAAAAAGACAAGCTCATAATGAGAGCATATATCAAAAAATACAAACACATTAATACCAACTTGGAAAATATCTGGATGACTCCAATAGGAATAAAAATGGCATGAATAATCTTCACCAAAGCAGAGCTATTAAACAGGAATATCAAGAATATTATAATCCAATAAAATACTTATTCTGCAAGACTTTTTGGAACAAACAAAACATACTTAAGCTTGATAGTCAGAGCAGTAGGAGAAATAAAAGCTAAAGCCTGTTATACATCAAAAGATTCCCATACATTGCAAAAATGCAACTTTACAATAATATGTTTTGAAAGCAAAGAAGATCTGAACAAAGTAGGCAAACAACATGTTTTTTTACAAGGATTATAACTATCATGGAGTGCAAAATATACTAAAGATCACATAATCCCCTTAAGAGATTCAGATATGAAAGAATGGAATAGACCTATTAATAAGATATCAAAAGTAATCCAGAAG